TTAATCCTAAGGCTCTAGTCAATTGTGTGCATTTACATGGCTGCTTACCATAGAACTGAGCAAAGCAACGCGCCACTTGGTCATAATCACGCAGCAGATGGTTAACCAGGGTGCTGAGGCACGATAAAGCAGAGTCGACTACTAGACGGCTGTGTCGTTGTGTCAGGCAAATAAGGTCCATTTGAAGATCGCGAAGAGCAGAAACACTACTCAGTAAAGAAAGAATAAACATATAAAGGTTATATACAATAGTTCATAGTTCAAGTGCAAATATATCGATATAGCGAAGTTAGAAAATGTTTCAAATGAGTCAATAAAATTAGGAACTAAAAGAACCAACTAATTGGTCATAATATTAAGATATATGGTAGGAGTTAAGACACATCATAAGTTTCATTTTAGTTGCCGAACATTTACGCATATCTTGAGATATGAGTAGAAAATAATAATAAAACAGAAAAGGAAAAAATATATTAAATAAAAAAGGAAACAAATTCAGATAATGAAAGACTAGGAGATAGGAGAGAAATAATAGTGAGAGAATTAATCAGAATAAAGAATATTTATAAATGGAGCAAATCCCAAGCTAATACTTGATAGTATTTAGAGAGCCAAGGCTGGAAATTAATTAACCACTTACGTTAAATCTGTTGGAAGATTGTTCAAAGCACGCAGCGTACCAGGATCCGGCTTCAGACCGCTAGTGACGAGTGCAGCCTTTGCGCGCTTAGCGCGTTCTAAATGAATATGGGCTAAACAGGCTTCAACAGAACAAATAAGATGATGTAGACTCTGACTGTCCAGCTGACCTAAATGACACTGAGTTACGTCAAGAGATACAGTTGAAGTGTTAGGAGTGGATTTGGTATTTTTTGTAACAGAAGCGATCGAGTCAACCGAAGAGAGAGACGCCGCAAGATGGTCACCTCCATGAGACAAAGAAACAGAGGGGGTATATGAAGAAATAGAAGAGGTGCAAGAAGCTGAAGAGGATGAGATTGAAGAGAAAACTAGTGGTTGTTGGCTTGTTTGTGTATGCAGCCAGCGCAATAGTTGGCCGCAATGGCCTTGATAAGTTAAGTCGAATCCTGTTGTCTGGCCTGCAACCAACTCTGTGTTCGATACGAGAGAAGAGGGTGAGGCTCTTGCCATCAAATGGAGCACAGCCAACAGACAAGACAAAGTAGGTCGACCGGGTGATAATGAAAGATCCTCCGAAGCCATATCACTGGACCTAACCGACACAGCGCCGTTTGATGGAGGGATAGATGATTGTGGAGGATCATTTTCATTGTCCCGTTGAAAATCTCCTGATGCAAGTGAGTAAAAAACAGACAAACAATGAGGAATAAAAAAGAAATGTTTTACAATCATTCAATGCGAGTAAAAATGTTTTATGATCTTGAGATAAATAGGCTCATTCCTAAGGTCATAAACAAAATAATACCATCGAAATGTAAAATAAATACACAAAATAATAAAAGTTGAAATCAAATCTAAAATTATTTTGCTTTTATGATTTGCAAGATTA